TATACTAAAATGAATATAATATTTAAAATAAATGTGCAGTGGTGTATAATCAATATACTAGTATTACATATGTGGGTTATAGAAGTAAATTTTATTCTATATGTAAATGAGTAAAACGTTTAAAAATGAGCATTAGTATCACAAAAAAATATGACACAATAAAAGTTTTAGGTGAACATATACAGTAATGAATAAATTCGTTTGTAGCTAGAATAATGCATACTTTACATTTATGAGTTTTACGTTATACTTAAATGGGTATTAGGTTAAAGAGAGTCATGATATTATAAATGAGCATAACACACGCGCGCGCACACACACTTATATAGAGATATAATGGATCAAATATAAACTTATCTTTGGCATCCTATGAGTTGATCTAAAGGTTATAGGTGCGTGGTGGTGTTTTGGTAATAAAGCCATTTTTTTTCCAGAATACAACACTTTGAACGTTAATTTACAACTGCTTATTTCATAGCAAAAAAATATGCAACACTTTACACGTTAATATGCAATACAAATAGCGTAAATATACATCGTACATGATCTTAGGGGTGAGTTCGGTTCAAACGGTTTGGTTTTCACCTAAAACCAAATGTCGAATCAAAGTAAAAGGTTCGGTTCGGTTTTATGTTCAAAATTTTGGAACCACGGTTTGTTCGGTTCGGTTTATTTCGGTTCAGTTTCGGTTTTTTTTTTGGTTTTTTACCAAAATATTATTGTTGATTAGATAGTAATTCGAAAACAAAAACAAAAAAATAAACTATTTCAAACTAGTATTAATAGTTGTACAATACAAAAACATACATAATTTAAAAAAAGATTGAAGAAAAAAATGCACTTCCAATCAATGAATTGCAGAGTACATATATACCAATTTAAACATTTTCTAAATTAATTAAATTTGCGAGTTTATTTGTGAATTATATATAGTGTATTCGCAAGTTAAAATTTTATTAGTAAATAACTAATTATACTTTCTTTTTAGGCAAAAATATTTGTCCTCTAATGTTTCATGTTTTCTGCTATGTTGTTTAAAGTATATATAGTTTATATTAATACATATTTCTTCAAAATAAAAAACTATGAGATAACAAACATATATACATAACATATAATATATCAACAAAATATCATTATCATGCAACAACAAGCAAAATGTAAATTATGATTTAAAATATCAACATGTTAGTATCATAGCAATAGACTTAAGTGTATGTACAAGTGTTTCACTTAAATAAGCCATAAATATAAAATGTCAACATCTTGCAAATTAAATCATAAGAAATCTAAAAACCGAGACATTCCCCCTGTGGCAACCCCTATCTGTAAGGTGTTAGAGACAGTTTCTCTAAGGAAAAGTTGAGAGCTTTTCTCTCCTGGGAGGTCTCACGCCCAGCTCTTTTCCGATGAGAAACTCTGCAGTTAGCTTGGTTTTTTGTTTTTGATGTGTTTTATCCTTGTGTTTCTTGGTCAGATTTCTTCCTTGAATTTGGTATTACAAGTCGATTGATGGCCAGAAAACCTAGGTTTTGAGGTTTACAAGTTCGTCGTTTTACTGTTCATGTAACTGGATTTGTGTCGATTTGAGGCTGTTTCTACTTCGATGATGTTTAATTGAGCTGGATTCTTCTCCTACTGCTATATCTGACCTCGGATTTTAGCTTGGAAGGAAAAAATACGTTCTGGGTCGGAACCTTCTGGATCTCGACTGATTGGGGCCTGCAGCATCTGAAATCGATTTTTGAAGGTTCAGGGGAGCTACGCTTACTGTTCCTCCTCAACTTCAGAACTCGTTTTCTGTTTTGGTGTTCTACTTTCTATAACAATGGTGAGAAAAAAGCAAAGTGGGGCTGCAGCTTCCTCTTCTACGAAACTCACCAGGTCTTCCCCCAGGTTTGCAATTCTGGATGGAGCAGATGGAGATTTCCCAGAACTCAATGTTGTGAACACGCCTGGGAAACCAATCACTGAACAACCTGTAACTAAGGCTGCAACTTTGACTGTTTCTAACTCCAATGCGGCTGGAGTAAAGGAACCTGGGGACAACCTCCGTCCAGGAAAACAGGGGACTGATAAAGGGGTTCAACCTGCTGCTCCAGGTGTAACAGACACTTGCTCGGTTGGCTCAAAAAATACTGGACAGAAAGGAAGAGGTACTGCAGGAGTAAATAAGGCTCAGCAAGTGCAGCCTATAACTACGCAGACAGTGGTCTCAGGTGAAACTAAATCTTGGAACTCCCTGTTTAGAGACAACCGTGATCCAAAAAATGGGATTAAGTTGAAATATGTTCCACCGAAAGGCGAAACATTGGACTTTGGTGACCGAGTACTACCCTCGATGGTTGAAATGTGGGGCTACTGCCTAGTGGGACACTTCACAGGTAAGTTCCCCGGACTTAAAGCGGTCCACGGTTTGAAAGCTAAATGGGGGGTAAAATGCCTTGTAAGGTCGCATAATAAGGGTTGGATAATTTTTAAGTTTCAAAATGAAGAGGATAGATCGAAGGTACTACTTGAGGGACCTTACACCGTATTTGGGAAACTCCTAATGCTTAAAGAACTCTCGGAGGATTTCACCTTTGAGGATGAGGAATTTCTAAAAATTCCAATTTGGATCAAATTCCCTAAACTACCAATGAGTTTATGGAATGATGAGGCTATGAGTGAGGTGGCATCTATGGTTGGGGTCCCAATTACCACGGACAAGATCACTCAAGAGAGGGCAAACAATGATTATGCTAGAGTGTTAATAGAGGTTGATGTCTCAAAGCCACCACCACTTCATTTTCCTATACGACTACCTTCCCGAAAGGTAATCAAACAATTTGTGGTTTATGAAACTTTTCCTAATTTTTGCTTTCATTGCAAAGAATTTGGGCACCACCCATTTATTTGTAAAAAGCTAGCCAAACAAGATGATGGAGGAAGAGATAAAGTACCAAACATGGTGGATAAGGAGAAAATAGGCTCTGGCACGACCGGGTATGATGCCCAGATTGTTGCTGCTGTCCCGCCTGAAGCTGAACTTGCTGTCCAGGTCACGGTTGCTGCTGACTACCCGACCGGGCCCCCTTACCCGACCGGGTATAATGCACAGACCACGGTAGAGCAAGGTGACCAGGTAGCTGCAGTGACTATTCCAGCAGCCCAGGGGCTTTCTAAAGCTACGGACAATGACCTTGAGGTCGCAGGGGAGGATATTGAAAGGGTTGTGGTGAAAGAACAAGATTTGAAGGTAAATGATGTGGTTATCAGATGTGAAGTAATAAACGGTAAGACACTCAAGTTGGTTGTCAAACCGTTTAGATTTGTGCATGCGAGTGTGATTAGAGTGGATACTTCTCTTCGACTTACGGATGATTTGGATAAGAAGGGACTTACCTTCACCGCCAAATGTCTCGAGGGGATGCCGGGAGTTGCTAAAAAGAGAGGGGAGGTTTGTTTTGACTCAAAGTTTACTACTCCTTTCCGAGCTTTCTTTGGAGTTTAAATTAGGAATACCTAATATTTTGTTGAGGTAGTTTGATTTTGATTTGAACCTTATGTTATATTTGGGTTCGAACTATTGACTTGGTAGGGAGCGAATCTTGATTTTGTGGTATCCTACGTCCTAGGATATGCACTTTGTTTGTAACATTAACTTGTTATTTTCTTGGGTGTTAATATATACTTACATTTCATCAAAAAAAAAAAATCATAAGAAATCTAGTATCAAACATTAATTTTTTAGAATTAAGAATTAAGAGCTAAAAAAATGTTATACTTAATGTTTAATAAATAAAAGTAACTAGTTTTAAAAAGTTCGGTTTATTCGGTTCGGTTGTGAGTTGTGAAAACCAAAACCGAAATCAAACAACTACGGTTCAGTTCGGTTTTTTGAGTTCGGTTTCGGTTTTCTTGCGGTTCGGTTGTTTTGGTTGCGGTTCGGGTTTTGTTGATTCGGTTTTCGGTTTCTCCAACCCACCCCTACGCGATCTGGCCCTTTTTTCTTCCAAGGGGATCAGGGGTAGGGGGCTGGGGTAAACCGAGATGAAATTCCCTCTATGGAATTTCAAACCCGATACCTCCCGTAAGTGACTCGGCGACCAATACGTTGTATATAATTAACTTCACAATTCACGTACACTTTATGAAAAACATACTCATAAAATTTCATAAAACTCAACTGTACAATTTACTAACCTACACTTGGACTCATGAGCATTAGTATGATATTGTAAAATCCGAACAACAAATATTCTAGATAAACATACAATAATGAATATACTTAAATGAATAAGTTAATCTATACTCCGTAACATATATATTAGGTGTATGATTAATAGACATGATTTTTATGTTATACTTTAAATGAGTATTAACTTTAAAAGAATTGTACATTGATGTGATATTACGAATTGAATGAACATAAAAAAGAATTCAAATGGATATAGACTTATTATCAAGATACTATTCAGAAGAAATTTGCATGGGTGTAACAAGCTAAAATGAACACGATCAAATTAATATAATTACATACGGAGTATTATTTTTAATATATATGTCCTTGCAAAACTACAAATAGTTGGGTAAATAACCTAAATCTGTTTTGTTGATTTCCATGTATAAGTTATTCAAATAAGTTTTATGTTATACCACATTAGTATAATGCTTGTTAGGAAATTTGAATTGTTATAATGTTTCAAAACGAGCACAACACCAAATACTACATGAGCATCGATTTAACATTTTAATCATAGTATAAAACATGATATTCAATGAGGGTGGTTTGATATTCAATGAAGAGTTCCAATGATTAATGAAGATGTTTGATCACATAGTCTCAATTTTTAATAGTAGAAAACGTGATACTCAATGAACATGTTTTGATGATCAATTGTTTTAAAAATTTATACTTGATTGCAGACAGGGGGCGGAGGGAGGGGGTGGCCTGGCTGGGCCATGGCCCAGGGCAGTTTTTTTTCTTTTTGTATTATATATGAATTCTTAGAAAAAAATTAGAAATGGCCCAGAGCAAAGAAAATACCGGCCCAGTGTATTGCCCAATGCAAATTAATCTTCCGGTGCAGCGTTGAAGGAAAGAAGCGCAGAATCAAAGCCATCGCCGTGCAGCATACCACTCCGTCCACTCGCATTGACGGCAGCGCCTATTCGCCGGACGGCGGACGCCGCCTCTCCTCCGCTCCGCCGCTCGCCCTGCGCAGCTTCGTTCCTTTGACCGCTGACCTGCTTCTCCAGACGAACAGACTCCAGTTCCCTCGAGGTAAGGAAGAACTAATTAAACTATTTCACTTTTTGTTTACAATTTTTAGTTTATTTCTTCAAATTTTTGACAAATACTTAGATGAAATTTGAAGGAAGATGGAATAAATCTGCCCTCGTTAATAAACCTGCCCTTATTAAGATGAAATTTGAAGGAAGATGGAATAAATCTGCCCTCGTTAATAAACCTGCCCTCATTAAGATGAAATTTGAAGGAAGATGCGAAATAAACCCATCAAATTGCATAGGACATAGTTAATTTAATTACTTCGTTTTACAATTTTTAGTTTAATTTAAGTATTTTATTTGTTATTTTAGTTTGTGATAGTCAAATGACTATATTGACTATCAATATTAGGGTGCTTTGAATTGTAAAATGAAAAATTAGGATTTAGGAATGTCAAATGGATTGTGAATTTCTTAAAATATTACGGAGTAATATGAATTTATTCAAAAAATAAAAATTAATATGAACTATATTGAATAATGTATTCAAATAAAATATTGATTAGTTTTTTATTTTTTGCTAAGATTAGTAGGTATGGCTACTCAATCTACTTCCAAAAAGGCAAAAATCACATTGCGTTCGTTTTATAAGCCTAGTACAAGGACTCAAAGTAGAAAAGAGTTAAATGTCTCATCTACTTCCAAAAAGGCAAAACTCCTAATATCTCATCTGTTCAAAGAGAATAGTTTATAATGCACTTGAAATTGAGCGGGATCCGGGAAAACGCAAAACGATAAGTGATTGGCCTTTAGAGAAAATAGATGAAATTAGACGATCTTATTTGATGCTTGGACCTTATCAACCGAAATTCAACTTTTACAAAGGCCGAGTTTACAAAGATAGGATACGTCGTTTTCAGGTTAATTGTTTAAAAGTATTACTATGAATTTTAATGGGTTTTAATCATTATGTTCACACTATTGTCGCTTTTAAAAATTTTATATACTGTTTTTAGTGTATAGTCGGCCCAGGGTAAACATCGATCCTGGCTACGCTCCTGATTGCAGAGTTGTAATGCTCAATGTAAATATCCTGATAATCAATGAAAGTGTCTTGATGCTCAACTAGTATAAATTATAATTTTCATACAAATGCATATTTTAAAAGTATAATATCAAATTAGATTCGCATAATGGAATTGATACGAGTTTATTATAAAATAATTTAACAATGATGTTAGGAACCATGGTGGGTGTGCTAAATGATTTCTAGGGAAAAAAGATTGGTGTGCAAGAAAGTTATACTCCATACTTGTTTGTCCCTGTCTGTCCGAAATTGACATACCAAGGACATACTGCAAGAAAGATTGGTGTGGACAGACAACTTGTACGCAAGGACATACCATTTATTTTTGTGTACACCTTGCTCTACGGCAACCATCATCTATATTCCAGACCAGTAACAATGGCGGCTGTGCTAAACCTGCAAACCACGACAGTATACTATCCCTTATCTTCATCTCTATATATTAAGAAGTTTTCTCCACCGCAATTCCAATGCATACCGCTATCATTCACCAGAAAGAGATCTATATTCCTCTCGCCTCCATATTCTTCGCTCCACAACGTATGCCACCCCTCGGCCCTGGTAAAAGACGAGGAAGAAACAGTCATCGGAGATTGTGTGGTCTTCGAAGAAGGTGTTTTCGACGATCCCTTTTTGCATCCGAAAATGGTTGAACCCATAAGAAAACGCGATGTCTCTAGACAGAGGAGCAATTCGGGCAAAGTGGAGCCCGAGAATCTCATTCCGGAGGACTGGGCTGATGTTCAAAAGGAAATCAATATTACGAAGAAGGAAAAGAGGAGGCTGGCGAGGGAATTGGAATTCGGGAGCCGCGTAGAGAAGAGGAGGATTGGGCTGAGACCAATTGTACTCGATAATCCCGTGTTTCCTGGAGCAGAAGAGGAAGGAAATTGTGAGAAAAGTGGCGATGAGTGCTCAGTTTCAAGTGTCTCCAATACCAGAGTAGAGCCGAGGAACCCTAGACAAGCTGTGGATGGCGGTGATTTGGATGATATAAGAGAGTTCTTCAATGGTGAGAATTATGCGCCTAGTTGCAAAAGTAAATATGAAGAAGGTATTGTTACTCTTTTGTCTCCCTGTCTGTTCGTTTTCTAAATTTGTGAATACTTTACATGCTGCGCTATCCTATCCTTTCTGTGAATACTTTCAGATGCCTGCCTCAATCTCTTTTGACTGTTTGAGACTAAGGCTTGGACACGTTGTTGATGTACTTATGGCTTTCAAGTACATAGAAAGAGTAGTTGTTTAGCATTACCCTTTTAAAAAAGCCATTTTAATAGAGTAAATTTGTATTTGAAGTTTTGAAGCTGATATTTTCTGAAAGTGCATATTTGTGTGTGTGACTGAGAGAGAGAGTTTGTGTGACTGTGTGTATAACTGTATGGATTTCATCAATGTGATGAAAATCTTGCTAACTGATTAGTTTATCAAACTTTTGGTAAGATGGATTGGCACATCTTGGGAAGCTTTATATCACTGCTTCTTGCCGCAACAACGGCTTGCACTCTATTAGCAACATCCAAGGGCTTGCAAGGGAAAAACGTAATATTGAATGACTCCTTAGATCGTTCCATTTCTACACTTGATGTTTATTGTCTTTCATTACATTGGCTGGCCAATAGGTAATCTCTTCCTTCAAACTTTTCTCAGATTAGTAGGAAAGGCAATGGATTTTGTTTCAAACCCTTATCCCTTTTGTTCTGTGTAACCCTATCATCATAATGCATAATATCAGTTCCTTAGTCCCAACTAGTTGGGGTTGGCGGCATTAATTTCTGGTGCCAGTTACAACAACATTATCTAAGTTATCTAAGTGCCTCAAAGGCTCCCACCTATGGTGGAGAAAGGGGGCCGGTAGTACGCAGCCTTACCCCTATACTAAACACATAAAGACTTGTTCCGAATGACCCGTGATGAAAATCGTGTCGATAAAAGAAGCGCAGACAGTTTAGTGAGCTATTTTGTTTTATTCCATCTTATTCTCAATCCAAAAAATAGTGAGTCTTGCAGACAGTTTAGTGAGCTATTTTGTTTTATTCCATCTTATTCTCAATCCAAAAAATAGTGAGTCTTTGGCTCCATTGGAAATGAAAATAATTTATGGTGCAAGTTAGTGGTATAAAATTAATTAACATCATAGATTCATGGATAAAAGCATTGTGGCCCTGAATGTTTTATGTCGCAACCTTCATCAAGAGTAATGAGATGGAAATTATATTCTCAAACCTTCATCAAGAAAATGAATTAACAGGTTAATTCCACATGCATGCAAACTATCATGACATGGTGCTGAGTTGAGATATTTGCTATTTGCCTTGTCCAATTGCAAATGGCTATACTTTATTCTGGTGAATTGATTTTGCTTGTGATTTTATACAACTTAATATCATACTTAACTATGTAGGGCGTATTATGTTATTGTCAAAGACTCAATGGAGGACTTCTCATGAATAAGGAAGGTCCCTGATCTTGCCGCCAGTTGCTACCTCTGGGAGTTCCCAACTTTTCAAATTAAATAGCTAAATTGATTGCTTTAACTCACATGTTCATTGTATATTATTCCTTATATATGGCTATGGAATATTGGAATGCTAGAGAAAAGCCTAGCATGCTTATATTACTCGCACAACCGATTACATTGAACAAGCTTTATTTATAAAAAAACATGTATTCTGGTAATTAACTGCGATTGGCTTGATGCGGTGTACCAGTGATGCTTTATCACATACTTTTTCACGACTATCATTCCATGTTTCAAAATGCATGGTAAGGAAATTCCCCCTTTTCTTGTTACTTATTTGATATGAATACAAAAGACTAAATTAGGGGTGGGCACGGGCCGGGGCGGGTAATGCAAAATAAAATGGAACCGGCGGTTCCATTGTACAGATTGGTCCGGTTTGGCTATTGCAATTTTAAAAATAGGAATCGGGCCTTACCCGACCTGTTTGAAACGGGTCGGTCCGGTTCGGGTTTTTCGGTTCTTGAATTGTTGTTGACAATTAAGATAATAGTACAAGTGAAAGATGAATCCAAAATTTAGCAAATGTGTAAAAATGTATTAGAGTCGAATGACCAGCTCTAATTTTCGGAGATCTTATTCACAAGCAAAGTGATGCTGAAATTTACTAGACCATTTTGACAATTTACCAAACGAATAAATACGAAGCAACTAATGTACATGAGATTCTATTTCTAACTCTATAGAGTGAGATGTGTGCAAGAAAGAAACAAGACCCCGGCCATGAAGGATAAGGTGAAAGAAGATGTTCTCCCCCTTACCTTCGCTCTCAGTCCGACGTGGAGAAACTCTATTGGAAACCAGAGAAGTGCTGAAGTTGCTGAACCAGAAATGGGGTCGGCCGACCAGGGATTAGGTCATCACTTCCTCCATGGCTCCATGCATGATGGTCGTCCGTCGTCGTCTCTAATTTCTGAAGTCTGAACTCCATAGACGTGCGTGAGAGAGGGGAAAGGCTCAAGTCCGAAATCTGAATTGGTACTTTGGTAGAGAGGCACATAACAACTCGGTAGAAGGGCTAAAGCTAATGGGCTAACCGGCTAATGGGGTAAGTCGCCATTGCGCAAAGGCTTAGAAAATAGAAAATTAGAAATTGTGGAAATTACCCATATGAGCCACTTTTACTCCCTGTATTTCATTTAGAGTAAAGGGTCAGTTTGGTCCTCGAAGTTGCAAAAAAGGTGTCAAATAAGTCCTTATGTTGAAGATTCTGTCCGGATGTGCCATTTGAGGTGGCTCCCGGAAGAATTTTTTGATGAAATTTTTTGAGCATCTTATTCCTTAAGTCTAGTTTACTCATACCAAATTTCAGCTAAAAATTCAATCGGGGAGACGTTCAAATGAATTCTTGAAGATAACTGCGCTTTTAACGGCACAGTTATCTTCAAGAATTCATTTGAATGTCTTCCCGATTGAATTTTTATCTGAAATTTGGTATGAGTAAACTAGACTTAATGAATAAGATGCTCAAAAAATTTCATCAAAAAATTCCACTGGGAACCACCTCAAATGGCACGTCCGGACAGAATTTTCTATATAAGGACTTATTTGACCCCTTTTTTGCAACTTCGAGGACTAAACTGACCCTTATCCCATTTCATTTATGACTCACCGTCTTTTTTCTTTCATCTCTAACCTTTCCCCTTTTCACTTTTAACATTTTTATTTCAAAATTGTCTAAACTTGAATATAACCTCGACTAATATCTCTCGGTCTCTCCTTATGTTCGGCAAATTATCTTCTCCGAAGCATGACCGCTACTCTCTCTCCAACCACCGGAGATGGAAACCTTGCGTACTTATTTATTACTACGTATATTTCACCCTTTATCCCACAGTAGAATTTGATGAAAAACTGTCACGATTTCTCACACACAATTCACCTCTCTTGTGTTACTTGCCGATTCATCACATGCCCATGGAAATAATAGTGTGATGTCCTAGCTCTAGCTAGCTAGCTGCGAGTAATTATATTTAACAAGCATGCAGCAAGGCCATGCCATATCGTAATTCGATCATAAATGAGCTTTAGGGCCGGGCCGGAGAATCTCTCCATTTTTATGACTTCCATCCCCTCTTTTCTCTCATACATAAATACATACAACGTAGACACACAGTGACATAGAGAGAGGGCATATTTTTATTAAAGTCATAGCCCGCGAAATTAAATTTAAGAGTAGCCACCCATGACACTGGCAGCAGGGAATCAAACTGCAGTATCTGTTCTACCTTTCTTTTCCTGTAAGAATTTAAGAGTAACCACCCATAGACCACTTTGCTCGCGCAGTCGCGCGTGATGACTGTTGCAATTTAATGCAAAACTACTAACCAGCCTTCCCTTGATAGGATGTTTTTACTTGGACTAGCAGAATAATCTAGTCTAGTATGATCTGGTATAATCTAGTCTGAACTAGTTCGACCTGATTTGGCAAATGTCTGGTCTCAGTATTTTATAACTATCCAAGTCTGGTCTGATCTGATCTAGTTTGGTCTGGGTCCAAAAACAGTCCACGTAAAAACATCCACAGTACATACTAAGCTACCCTGTCCCAATTTGTTTTGCAAAGTCAACAATTTTTAGCCAACCAATATTAAAGTTAAATCGTCCCTATTGATACTTTTTTGAACGAAATTGGCTTAATTATCATAAGAGAACGTAAGCATATTACAAAATGACAATAAGTCTTCTATCTGCCGTCCTCCCTAGAACCAGACTTAGAATTAATCCGTAGAAGCAATATAATCTGTTGATCCTGCTTTGGGCTTAACTGAGCCAAGACTTGCAGACCAGGCTTCTCGTCCCTATTCATAAATAATTCAATTTCAATATTTAAAATTTACAAATTCATAAACTGCATTAAAATCTCTATAAAGTTACAAAATCCAAATTAAAATTCAATTAAAAATTGGTATTGTAATTAAATGAATAAAATGAATTTGTTTGACAAAAAAAGTCAAATTTATAACTCAATTTGGGACGGAGGGGATTTTGTTTAAAGTATTATAATGACAAAACATGCGAGTAAATTTTCAGGATGACAATGACATAAATTTTCATGATGACAATGACGTCCTCTTACTTAAATTTTCAGTAAATCAACACCCCTATTTTGTAATTTCCGGATAATGTTTTAACTCATATTTCAGGAATTTTTCGTATCTCAATCGGTGATTGTAAATAAAATGTGTTTTCTAAAAAATAGACTAAGTCAGTATTTGCGAACGTCTCTCTATTGAGAGCTTCTCTCTCTCTAGGCGGCCATCTCTCTATCTCAATCAGTGCGGTTTTCTTGTGCGGCTTTCGTCCGTCTTTCATGAGTCTCTCTTCTTCGCAGACTGCAGCGCCTATATGGCAGATAAAAGTTGTGTACCCCTAGCAACAGGTGGAGAGTTTCGAAGATGTCGTTCATGGTTGAAATCAGAAGGTCATGAAAGAAGCGTGAGGCTAGGGACTGGAACAAATTTAGACTGGAGGCAAGGAGCGGAAGAAGCTATAGTATTCTTGGACCGTCCCCCTCCTGAACCGCTGCCATGGAGTGCAGGAGAGTTTAGGGTTTGGAAGCAGTATTTTAATTTTACTGTTTGCTTGCTTTTTATTTTTCATGATCAGTCTGTTTATTTTTCTGCTGATTACTTTTATTGTTGTAAGACTTTGCATTATGATTGGGTGATGGGAGGTCTGCTTTAATCGTCGTTGGCTCATTTATGCCCACTATAGGATCAATGAGTTATATTGCTTTTTTAGAGGTGATTGACTCTAAGTCTAGTTCGAGGGTTAGCGGTTGTCTGTGGTCCTTTTGTCGTTTTACCCCCTATCTGAATGAAGTGCTAGTAATTTAAGCCATCCGTTTTTACGATAAAAAAATAGACATAGTCTTTTAAATCATAATAATGAAATCAGAAAATTCAAAAATTGACATTCAAAATTAAAATTAAAAGGATGTATGTTGATTAAGAAAAGTTTTTATTTTTTGAAAATCATTTTGAAATATAAGAAGTATATATGTGTATATACCCTACTACCACTATTACTCTCACTATAAAAGCTCTTCCAAAGGGCCCCTTCCTCCATTAATGGGTGGAAACACTGGTTCCTTTTCGTCCGGGTCCCCGACGGTTAGCTACCGACATGATGGGATAGATACCCTCGGAAGGTCAATGAGCCACGTGATACCGAGGAGTTGGGGGAAGAAATCAAGGTAGTGGAGCGTGATGGCTTCCTTCACATCATGAAGTGCCTTACTCCTGAGGCGCTGACCGAAGCTGGGATAGGTACCCGCCTGTACCACTGGATTGGTTTTTTATGGAATCAAATGCCAAGGCCTGAGACTGTCTTCTTCTTGTTTCAAGGTTAGTGCCTTTGGGATTTATGCCACCTGATAGGCACTAGTTGTTAGTGCCTAAGTGTACATTTTTATTATCATTTGTAATATTTATTTACTAGTATTATGCAAGTTTGTAGTTGTTAGTTTGCATTTGATTGTAATCGTATTTTTAGTATTTTATTGTTTGTTGTAAGTTATAGTTAGTTGAGCTATAAGTTTAGGATAGGTTTGGAAGCAAGAGGGATGGAAAAAACCTGAGTTTTATGCAAAACCTGGTCGGGTATGGACTTTACCCGGCCGGGTATGAAGTGACAAAGGAAACTGCTGCAAAACTAGCAAATACCCGGTCGGGTATTCCATATACCCGGTCGGGTATGAAGTGATTTCGGACCAAAGAACGTGCAGAAGACACAAAAACATGGGAAAATATTTGATTTGGTAAATACCCGGTCGGGTATGTCAAAATACCCGGCCGGGTATCCGGAATTAGGTGTTGAAAACACCTATAAATAACCCCATTTTCCTTCACTTTTAATCATCCATTCTTCCATACTCTTAAGCTCAGTTTAGAATAGTATTTCTTTTATATTTTTATAGCATGTTTAGTCTCCAAATGAGGAGCTAAACTCTTCCATCTTGGTTTTGCTACTTTGAAGCTTAATGAATTTGTAAGTTGTGAGTTATTCTCTTTAATCTTCTTCCTTGAATATTAATTCTTCCTTTAAATACTATTTCTATATCAATGTTGGGGAGTGTTACTAAGATGACAATTAGTTAACATCTTGACATTAGTTATAGTAATAATTATTTCTTCCTCTACGTTAATATTGGGGAGTGTTACTAAGATGACAATTAGTTAACATCTTGATATTAACTACAGTAGGATTCATCTTCTTTAATATTCTTTCTTGAGTAT